CATATATATATATATATATATATATTGTCTAATTAATTGGCCAACACTGAAAATGATTTGATAAAATATAAAACAATAGAGTAATGCTGTTCTTAGGAGACACTGATATGCCGTCATATGGTTAACTACTATTGCCATATTCATATTAGTGGCCAGTGGCCAGACTATGTGACCTGCCAAAGTGTGAAGTGATTAGCAAATAGCTCCATCTGCTGGGTATGTGCAAATTATGGGAAAACACTGTTGTTATTTCAAAAGAGTGTGAGCTACAGCTATGAATGATAACATATCTAATACAATATGTGAGAGTTGCAACAGAGAAGTACGGGCTATGCATAAATATGGATAAAGAGCTAATGAAAGTTTATTGGAGGGGACATCTGCATTTCTGGATGAAGAGAAAAAAAACAACAGTGTCTGTAATTGCATTAGATATTTTTATGCTCCAGTTATTAAATATGAAATGATATGGCCTTTATTACACTGACAAATACTCCAGGCTGTAATAATGACAATATCTCATGGGGATAACATTGAAATTGATTGCCATGTTTGACAGCTGTGTTGGGCCCAAAACACAGCTTTCAAAATTAGGCCAGTATTTCCCGTTAGACTTAAAATGTGCTTAAAATTGAGTATGTGAATGAGTATATGATATGACACATGCAGATTTATAATGAAAAACAAAAGAACAATTACATCTCCTTTTTGAATGGCAGGATAATTACTTCTTTTTTTAAATTGCTGGGCTATCAATCAAAACTAACAGGGGACAGGTAGCCCACCCACTCCATGGATGAGATGTAACCACATCACGATGGGCGTCGCTAGGCCATTTAAAAAAATTTGCGATTAGCTCCATAAACTGTACACGAATTCGTGTACAGTCCCCTTTAAATTTCATATGAAAAAGGCGGTAGACTTCTATCGGCTCCTCCCCGTCTTTCAGCCTCTTTTTCAATCCGCAGACCGCGGCGACGCAGAGCGAGAAACTGTGTTTATTGATAGATTGTTATAATATCTGCATCTGCGCAGTTCTTTGTCATAAATACAGTTTAAAAAATATCATGGGGAGCAATTGGTTCCACATCTACTGTAAAGTTTTCCCTGCGTTCACCCCACATCACACCACAGCTGTTTCCTCCAGTGAAAATGAAGCACATATGAACGCATACTTTATAAAACAATCATGTTGCCATTTTCATTTGAAAATTTAACTTTAAATGTAATACATATTCCAGTGCATGTGGCAAAGAGGTTTGCATACTTGAGCTAAGGAAAGAGGTTGTACTAGAAATGCAAACAGTAAAATTTTGTGTGTTTACAGTAAACAGGTGTGTGTGTGTGTGTGTGAGATCATTAAGATTTGTATTTGGCTTATTCAGTTATATGTTATACCCATCTATGCAATACAGTGGATTACAGCACTTTTTGGTATATAAGTTTATTATACCACCCCTATTAGTCAAACATTTTTTATTATTATATATTATACCCTCATTGGGGGCTGAGCCCCCATAAAATGAATATCCTGGAATCGACCCTGCACATCACATCATTGGCAAGATGGATTATTTCATGGATGGGCTCGTTTTGGACACCTTGCCATTTATCTGCTGTACATTTATGCTGTATGTGCATTATTGTATTTTGGTTGTATTCTTCTCTATATCAACGTGGTAAATTTAACTCTAAAGGTTGATCTAAGATCACGTAATAGACAATGCATTGCAGATTCACAATAGAGGTTTGAAATTTCATTGCCAAACTCCAGGTGGCGATCTAGTCACGCTTATGCGTACTGTGCTGCATTAGGTAAGCACAGAGGAATGGTCAACCCATGTACAATAAAATGCACCTCTGTGGACACCCATTTAGAGCTAACAACAGATCTAGCAGGCCCAGAGGCCTCATCCTGCTGATTCACTGTAGAAATAATAACAAGACTGCCATGGGAAAAGCCTTGCATATGAATTACACTCTCCTTTATAACCAGATTCCAATGCAATAAGCTGTACATCTGAGAAAACAATTTGTAAATCACTATTGTGGCGCATATATGCAATTGAAGGGATTATTACTGTGTTTGTGTGGTCATGCTGTTTTGTTATTCTCACACTTATGTGATGTCCTTCACTGTTTTGCACAAAATAAAACTGAAACCACATAAATGTCAGTGTGATTTATATGCTGATTGTTTTAAGGTAAAGAAAACATAGATCGTAATAAATTTAGGTCACTGGAAAAGCACTTTACAGTGTTGGAAACACAACTCTTGACAGGCTATAAGATGACACATGTCACAGGGTAGCTCCCATCAGGCCTAAAAATAACCTGACATTTTACTAGAGTGTGTAAGATTGCTCATGCCAATAATATGAGGCTTAAATATGATCATAAGTCAATTTATGACAAATTAGCCCTCTCTTGCACGCATTACGAAAGCAATGCTATTGAAAATGTTTTATAACAATCACAAATGCTAAAATCACAAATACATTGTAAAAAAAATTATATTTGGGAGTGGATATTTCATGCCACTTATAGGGAACACTATGTGAAAATGGAAAGAAATTCATTAAAGACAGCAAATATTTTGTGTAAATAAATATATGTTGTGAAATTAAGTGATTATACAATCTGTTGATGGCATAATAGTAAAATTACTTTACATGACAGTATATGACTTTTATTTATTTTACTTTTTACTTTAACTTAAATGTTAAGAAAATACTCAAATGCAGTATTTAATAAATACTCAATAAAGAATAACACAAAAATTCATTCCATCCATTATGCACTGTATTCACATCCATTCCACCATTACATAATTTTGCCTCTAGGCAACAAACACATTAAGCAAATCCTCATTAAAATTGTTTATACCTTCAAACGTCACTAAAAATGTGAATTCTATTTTTTGATGTGTGCAAATCACCAAAAATAGCCCTTCGAGCAAAACTGTCTCCTCCACATAGGCTAACGAAAAAGTTCAAATGACCATGAGGATGTAGTTGACCAAGTCAAAGCATTTTACTTGTTTATTCAACGTCATCTCTTCATTGTTAATTGCTATGTAATATGCATAATGTGCTTATTAATAAAATGGGTTTGTTACCCTGAAGCAATTTCGTGGATTAAATGAGTGTTTACAATTTACAAATGCATACATTAAAATGTAATTTAAAAAGTGGACATTTTTAGAACGTATTCATCCATAAAAACCGTATTATTTAACTGCCGCTTTTGCACGGTAAATGCAATTTTCTCGCGTCAGACATTAATGAGTCTCACAACATTGTCCCAAACAGCCCCTTTAAAGTCACAGGGCGAGATTGACAGGACAGATAGCAAATGATACGCCTCTACCACAGGAGAAGGGGCTCTGTCTACGCCACGGCGAATCAGCGCGCAGCAAAGGCGGGGTTTGTGCCGGTGGGGCTGTCGGTCAGCCGCTCGCTGCGTCCTGAGATCTGTGGAGTTGTTGCGCTTCTATTGTGGAAGGCGAGTCTCGTTGGGAAATAACGCGTGTATTGGCACAAGGAATCGTTGTGTTGTATCATTTTCACATTCAATGGGATTGTCGTCTCGTACTTGGCGAGGTAAGACGACAAACAACTGAATATATCTCTTGTAATTGAACTTGTTCCGAAAGAAACTTTTTCTTAAAGGTGAACTCCGCGGAGCTTCGTGGGTTTTGTCCATACAGATCCATCCGGCTCCGCAGCGCGTGTGTTTTTGGTTTTAACAATGCTTTTGGGAAAGCAGGGGAAAATATAAAATTGCTTTGTTTTAGGTCAAGTTTATTTGGTTTTAAAATATGTGCCGTTGCTGATGCACATAGCCTAACAGTGGGCAGTTTAGTTGTGTGTTATTCATTGTTTGAGAATGGGGGAGTTAATAAAAACATCTTACAATACCTTGACAATACATTTGTGTGCACTCTAGCCGCTGTACAATTTGTGATTTGTTTGAAAATGTTGAATATTTATTCGCTTTGTCGTTTTCTTTTCACTTTAAAATTTGATTGATCGATAGTTCACCCAAAATTAAAATTGTCTTCATGTACTCACCCACATTTCATTTCAAACCCTTACAACTTACTTTCTTCCGTAAAAAACAAAAGTAATCGACACGAGTCGTTATTTATATTCCAATACTTCTGATGCCATGCTATAGCTTTTTGTGAGGAACAGGCCGAAATTTAAGTTGCTATCTACACGTCATCCGCTTCATTAAAACGCTGCTACCCAATTGTTCAGTCAGTGAATTGAACTCCCGATTAGGATCATGACAGAATGCGCAGTTTTATGAAATACTAAGTGAACAATACCTGAATGACCTACTACATACCCAGTGAATTACCAGCGTCAACTGCGTCACATGACAATAACAACATGACAAGCATGTGTTCTTCTCAAAGAGAATTCTTCTCACTCTTCTCAAAGACTATGCGATTTTGGAAGCATTCTCTGGTTCGAAGTGTGGAACAAGTGATCACTTTGCTATCCCATAAGGCTTAGAAACTATTATATATATATATATATATTAAAAAAAATAATAATAATAATATTAAATTGTATTTATACTGCATACTCACTAACCCAAAGAAGGCACTTCATTTTGGAAAAAGCGAATTAGATGAATTGCAATATCAGCAATCTGCAAATTAATAATAAAAAAAATAATTCAGACTCACTTTTTCACAAATTGGGTATGGCTGTGTCTCCCATGAACTTGCCAAGAAGTACTAGGGCACTTGTAGGTATTGTAGGGCTTCAGGCAAGTTGGAAAATAGCACACAAGTCATTTGGACTATTTTTATGTTAATTTCATGGTGATTTTGTGCCCTCTTTGAAGCTTCGTCTTTTATTGCCATTACATGAAAGACATTTTTTTCAAAATATCTCCACAGAATATCTATTCAAAATAATATCAAAATATCTCCACAGAAGAAAGTCAGTCATACAGGTTTGGAATGACAGTATAGTTGATCATTTTTGTGAGAACTATTACTTCAAAGCCCTTCAGTCTTCAACTGATCCTATAAATTTTCAATTTGAAACAAGGGAGTTTTGTGATTGCCAAAAGGAAATCAGTCATTTTAGTACAAATGATTATCTTCAATCTAATTGCAGAAATGCTCATTCTGTCTCTGGTCTTCATCCTAAGAGTGATCATCTGAAAGTACTCATTACTCACTGTTGTTGAAAACCCTGCAACGGTCCGAAATGGATTAGTCTCACTTAATTTGTAACGCTTTAAAGAGAAATAGTTTTTTTTTGTAGTTCCTTCAGCAGTAACCTTGGCAGCCAGCTGTTGCTGCGAACATCTTGGCAGTCTACCCAGTAAATCTGCGGTTTTATTTCCTCTCCTGGGTTTGGAGTTTTTGATGCCCAAATTGGAGGGGTTTGTGTGCTTTGCAGGCCGAAACCCTTTGTAGCTCCGCTGTCTTTGTTTTAGGCGCATCCATTATTCAAATTCAAGCAAATACTTTGTTCTCATCTATTAGAAACTGAGTGGCATGTAAATGAAATGTCTTCATCAAATGAAGACTACAGATATCCGCCCAAATGTCTTGTTCCATGTCAAATGAGGTGCAGATGGCTCTGAATGCTCATCTAATGAGTTGCTGTATATTTTATTGTTAATTTAATTATCAAAACTCCAATGTAATTATGTTCAGCCTAGCTAAATTTAGTCAGAAACACTTCTCACCAAGAAACAAATCTGTGTCCTGTTGGTTTCAGCTTTAAAAATGTTGTGCTGTTTCTGTGAAATGTTCATATTCTCACTTAAATTATGATATACTGCTTTAAACCACTGAATGAATAGTCATGCTGCTTTGTGTGGTCATTTGAAACCCCCTCAGGGTGGATTAGAAGTCAAACACCCCGAATGTCTGACAACAGGGAGCCCGTCAAAAACACTTTCCTCGCGCTCAGAGGGTTCAAATCAATGGCCTTTGTGTCGCTACCACTGACAGAAAACAGGCCTGAGGGCGATTTGTTTGTGTTAGCAGATTAATTTCCCCTCTCTCTGTGTCATGGCGGGCACCTGTCAGCACTGAGGGACTCTTCACGTGAACCCTGTGGGACTTTTCGGCTGTCCCGACATAGTGCGGTCAGGCTAATTAAGTCTCTGATCTTTTCTTTGCGACTCTCCGGTCTCGTCCCTCGGGCCTTAGACCTACCTTGAGATCTTCGAGAAAGATCAGCAGATGTTTTTCAAGTGGTTTCAGCAAATTGTATTAGATGCAGCTGAGTCTGAGTTTGCCCTCGACTGACCGTTGATTGAGTTATCTAATTCTTGCGAGACCCCGTTGACCCTAGTGAGCAAATCAGAAGACGCCTCCCCTTTTTCATTGTTCATAGGCGACTGTGTGAGTTGTGGGTGGTTGTGAATGTTTGTGTGTCTGGCTTCATGGGAGGACTCCTCAGTTGTTTCCTCTGTGCATCTCTGGTTCCCTAAGGATGGAAAACAATCAGAGCATATTTGAGCGCCCAGATCCTGCACAGTGGGGCAGATTATGTGCATAGTTTGAATAATTCACAGATAATGGAAAGGAAATAAGTTTGGATGTGTTTCAAGTTTACCAAATCAAGGTCAGGAGTTGAGAACACCTCGGGAAACAAGATCCAAATGGCTTAATTCGAAGACTAAACAGTCCCTGCCCTAAGTGTGACCTCTTTCTGGAAGAGTTTGTGTTTTGCTTCTTTCGAAAAGGAAGTATTAAATTATCTCTAGACTCAGATCGGATGCTCTAGTTCCAAAGCTGTTTGCCCGTCTGGTAACTCCTAAAATAGTCATTCATGTCCATGTAAGACCCTGTTTGTTCATTGATTTATTGTGAGATTATGTTCTCAGATGAAAAAATGGTTGAAAAATCAGCTAGAGATCAAGAAAAGCTTTTGAAATGACTGCTGGTAGCGAAATCTGTTCTCTTGAAGTGGAGTCTCAGAAAAAGATGACAAAGGATACATTGTTAATTTGCTGGTAGTAATGCACCAAAGGTTTTTTCTAACTGATGGATAGCATCAGGAGAATGCATGGACACAGACAGGGATTAGCTATGGCCATCTGTTGCCCGAGGAATCAATAGCCAGACCTTTCTCAGCATCCCTGCATGGGTACAGGAAAGGATCACTGCACCATTCCATCAATGGTACTTCAGTTTGGCTGAGAGTGACCTCGGATACTCCCTTTATATCGAGTGCTCGATTATGCACCTTTGTGAGCAAGAAAGTGACGTCTTTAACGGGACAACGACTTCCACTCTTCCAGTTCCCTGCATGACCCACAAATTTCTTGTTAAGATAAATGGTAAAAAATACTCTGTTGTATGTTCTGCAGCGGTTGCCAACTGCTAATGTCAATTTTTAAACTTTCCAAATGTGCTTTTTACCAAGGCTACCATATCGTGAGGACACTCATTTGTTAGTGTTTTCCTGAATTTTCTTTTAAGCTTTGTCTATTCCTTCTGACGTATGTAGTTTTTTTATTTGGTTGTCCCAATGGACACTTCCATTGCAAGAAAAGGTTTCCTTTTAGTTGGCCATTGAGTTCCCAGCTATTTTCTTCCTTCACCCATTCTCTTTCATGGCTCCTTTTGAAGGTGTCGACACAATGCAGTATCTTCCTATGACACTTCCACAGCCTGGAGGTTTGGGGATTCGGTTTTCAGGTCGATATAGAGTAGAACATTACATCCTTATTGTGGTAGACAACCCTAAAGAGCTGGTGCCATCTCAGACCACCCTTCTCACTTCTGCCTGAGTGACTTTCCTGACATTCCTGGCAGAATCACCTGGCCTTAGCACCCTGCATTTCTGAATCCAAGACATTGTGTGGCTGGCAGACTAGAAAAACAAGCTTATGAGCATTGGTTTGTGTTGATTCTCTGTATGTTGTTTCATGCCAGGGTTTGCTATGAAGCATGGATGTGTTATTTCAGAACTTAAAGGTCAGGCTATAGGTGTTGTATTGCAGTCATGCGACTTTAGCAGAACTAAAGTCAGAAGATATTTGGAGATGGAGGGAACTGCCTGGTATATGAGTGCTGGCAATTTGACAGAAGACCAAGGCTTGTACTGGAAACCTTAATGGACCTTAATGGTTCTGTAATTATATTACCAAATTACTTCTCTTTTTTTCACATCCACATATTGCTCTTCAATGTTCTACCTAATCCAACACTCTCTCCATCTTAAAGAAATAGTTCATCAAAAAGTTTACTCAACCTAATTTGTTTACAAATCTGTATGACTTACCTTTATTGGAACACAGAACAACACAGGTCGTTCTGTTTACAAAGACCAAAACTTTTTTTTTTAGAAGAAGAAAGTCATACAGGTTTGATATGATATTAGGATAAGTAAATGATGGCATAATTAAAATTTTTGGGTCAGCTATCTTTAATACTTAGTCAGTCTATTTATGCAAGACAAGTGTGTTTTTATAATGTATAATGTATCAACATTTTATATCATATTTAATAGCCTACAGCCCCTGCCTCATAATAACCCAGCCATCTTGGACCATTCCCTCTTTTCTGCCTAATGCAAAGGCCCATGGGAAAGAGAGCCAGGCTGCTGGCAAACCC